TAAAGTCTTCCCGCCATAATCAAGGGCAAAGGTTAAAAATCACAATGAGAATGGGCTCAACACAAACAGTAAAATACAGCAGGAAACACCATTCTAATCGGGTGAATATTCCTGCAATATTTTCTCAGTCCATCTGCCCATCTGTCTGTCTGTTCATCAGTCTATCCATCTTTCCCACAGTTCACCCATCAGTCTGTGCACCCACCTATCCGTCCATCCATCCATTTGTCCGTCCATTTGTCTGTCTGTCCGTCCATCCATCTGTCGTCTGTCTGTCCGTCTGTCCATCCATCCATCCATTTCCACCTATGCCCATCTGTCTGTCTGTTCATCAGTCTATCCATCTTTCCCACAGTTCACCCATCAGTCTGTGCACCCACCTATCCGTCCATCCATCCATTTGTCCGTCCATTTGTCTGTCTGTCCGTCCATCCATCTGTCGTCTGTCCGTCCGTCTGTCCATCCATCCATCCATTTGTCCATCTGCCCATCTGTCCGTCTTATTTTGCAACAGTTTTTGCTAGAATCATTGATTTTACAACTTTTTTGCCATGGATGTTAAGCAAATCACACCGTCTGGCTTCCCCCATTGACTTTGCCTTTTAGAAGACCTCTGGGAAGGTCACAACTGGTGATCACATGACCCCAGAATGCTGTAACTGTCATAAGTGCGAGGACTGGTCGTAAGTCATTTTTTTTCAGCACTGTCGTAACTTTGAACAGTCGTTAAATGAATGTTGATAAGTTGAGAACGACCTGTAATTATTTACAACCATAAATTTGCTATTCTTTAAGAACCCAAACCAGTTTGAGTGGCCAGACATAATGTGAGCCATGTTGTATTATTCTTTGCAAATATTCTCTAATACATTGTGAGGCCTTAATGGCCCAATGAATTTTAGCCAAAGCTCTTAATTTCACAAAGGGCTTAACTAGTCCTTGGGGTATGGTCTTTATGTGGCAGTGCCCCTTAAACTAGAGAAATATGCTAGTGTGCAATTTAAACAGTTTCACTGTGACTTCCATTCTTAAAGAGCCTGAACCAGTTTTTTAAGCCTGGCATAATGTGAGCCATGGCTCGGCTCTCTATAAAAATAAGCACACCAATTCTACTATTCATCTCAAATATTCTCTAATACATTGTGAGGCCTTTATGGCCTTACCAATTTTAGCCACATATCTTAATTTAGCAAAGGTCTCAACTGCTTTTTGGGGCGAGGACTTAATGTGCCACTCCCAATCTTTAAAATAGAGAAATATACTGGTCTGCAAGTTAATCAGTTTCACCGTGTGTTCTGTTCTTTAAGAACTCGAATGAGGTTTCATGCCCTGGCATAACGTCAGCCATGGCCAGGCTCTCTACAAGAATGAGCACACCAATTATAGTATTATTGTAAAATTATCCCTAATATATTGTAAGCCATATATCGCCTTACCAATTTTAGCCGCACCTCTTAATTTAGCAAAAACACAACTGGATCTTGGGGCTTGCTCTTACTGTGTCAATGTCCCGTTATCAAAATAGAGAAATATACTGGTGAGTGTTAATCAGTTTCGCTGTGGCTTCCATTCTATCAGAATACAAACCAGTTTGTGTGGCCTGGCATAACATGAGCCATGGCCATGCTCTCTACCAGAATGAGAACATCAGTGGTATTATTCTTCACAAATATTTTCTTATAAGTTCTCAGACTTTTAAACCTTACCAATTTTAGCCGCAGCTCTTAATTTAGCAAACAGCACAACTGGTCATTGGGGCATAGTATTTACGTGCCGCTGCCCTGTTGTGAATTTTTTTTTTTTCCTGAAATGAAAAATGGACTGCAGGATAAGATATGGGGTGGAATTTTAATTTTAGTAGCGGTCCTGGTTTGTGCTTTGCAGAACAGCCGATATTTGCTCCTTGGGAGGAAATTTCCTTATGCCAGCAGTAGGCGTACAGAGTGGGTGGGTCAAAAAAAGTTGGACTGGAAATCAAAAATGGATGGTGGGATGAGATCCAGGGTGGAATTTAAAGATTGCTTCAGCCTTCTTCCCAAGCACCCACTTAAAATTGTCCAAGACCACCCAACCAAGCATTAAAGATACTTAGTTTTATTTCCTGTTGGCAGGTAATCCTAGGTGGGAGCGAAATCCAAGGAAACCAAGGAATCTATCAATTGCTGCCCTTAATTTGTCCCACATTAAAATATGGAGGACATCGCAGTAGCAAGTCTCATTACTGATGCAAAACCCAGTTTGGTTGTTGGGGCAGTGCAGATTATGTTAACATGCAATTCTGGTAACTCAGCAACTGGAGGAGCGTGTATTTATACAGCTGTAAAGAAGATCCTCTAGCGCTTACCGCTGTGCCTGTTCCCAACACTACTCTGGCTGCTTTTGCCTACGTTTTTGACTTCGGCATGAGCAATATTCACAAACTTGCACATGTGCAAGGCTATATGTCTGCTGTGTTCCTTTTTCTTCTTCCAGGGCAGCAAACCAAGATATCAGGTAGGCATCCAGGGAATACAGCACCTTCTTCCTTTCTAGGCAATCTCGGGCCTGCCAACAATTAGTTGAAGTTGTGAATGCAGGTGCCCGCAGCCAATCACTCTGTGCCATTACCCTCTCTTACGACCTCCCATACTATTTACTGTTCCCTATATAGAAGAGGCGACAAGCAGTGAGGCTCTTCACTCCCAGGAGAGAACAGGCACTGCAAGGTTGAACTTTCAGCAGGCCGTTTACACAGTTTAATATAATTTAGCTTGTTCAATTTGCAGAACGATTGAAAGAGTGTGGGCACGGGTGTAGGAAGTATGCCAGCAACTAAGGTCTCACCAACCA